GATGTACATTGAATAATATCAGGGAAGACAGCTGTTAATTTATAATGTATTTGAAAGCTTATCTGTTTTTTCATTTGTAAAATGGGTCATTTGTTTAATCTTTCATGTCTTGTCATATACAAATTTATAATGGTCTACACTTCTTTATTTGTAATTCCAAAATCCAAAAAAGTTCTGAAAATTAGAAGTTTTTCCTAATCTTCGTGATAACTTGCTTGCAAATCTAATCTGAAGTGACATTGAGTCTACCTACCCCATTTAGTGTGAATATTCGTTTATTTTGCTGCAGAAATATTAATGTTTTTTATTATGAGGGGTGTTGCCTCAGACCCTGCTAGGGGTTATGTAGTATATGGTATGGTCTGACATGCACTGAATTAGCTTTCTGAAAGCTGAAAATTTCAGAATTCTGAAACATCTGGCCTGAAGGATTTCAGATAAAGGGTTGTGGATCTCTATATTTCTGTTAAGTAATTTAGAAAGTATTGTTTGTTTCAGAAATAATGTGAAATGCTTTTGTATTTTAGACAGTTTTTCACCTTGTGTATTAAATAATTTTTAAATTGCTTTTTGAATCTCCATTCATTAAAATCAGGTTATAATAGAACTGTTGACTGTGATTTGGGAAATGTCAAGGTTGAATGAAGTGGAATTATAGCACAGAGTAACATACAGAGTCTTATGGTACTTTTCTTAGGAATTAAACGGGACTTCTGGAAAAGATAGCATTGGGTAGCTTCTTTAATAGGGTCTTTTCCACTCAGATGTCCTGTCACCACTATCCATGTCTAAAAAATGTGCCATATCTTGCCCTAAAACTGATTTATCTTCACACCACCCCCATTTTCTAGTGGTGACATTTGTCCCAATCACCCAACTTTGAAACCTTGGGGCTGGTTGTGTTATCTTTTTAGTCATCAGGTAGCACTGTCTTCCTAAAGATGGAAATTCTGTCCCTATCAACTTACACTAGGCAGTTTCTCTCTTGCCTCGCTAGTACTAGAAGATTGTAATCAATAAACATTTATTGGATACCTCTGCTTAGAAGATAACTGAGCTATAGATGGCAAGATCAGACACAGTTAACACAGGCAGTCCAATAGGAGAATGCTTACCTGGGAGTTCGAACACTGTAAGCCATCCAAGCATTGGGTGGTTAAAGGGTTTATGTAAATGATGATGTGTTTTGTAAATAGTATCACTGTAGTAATTGGTAAAAGATTTGCTGGTGGGGCCATTTTGATTGGGCTGTGATGTTACAGTGGCCTGATCTACATGATGGGTGGATGGTGTGAGTCAGGACCACCCTCATAGTGAAATCACCACCCCAGTGATAACATGCTTTCAGTGCGCTGAGAACTGTTTATTTTTAAGGCAATTGGATTTTTTTTCTCTGTAATCCAAGCAATATTATGAAAAACCAAGGAATGTATCCAGCAAAGAAAGAGGCTGGAGCAAATTATTTTTTCATTCTCTGTGCTTTTACAGAAGTTAAAATAGCCAAGCTCTGCAAATGCCACTGATCTGGAACAGCCAAGGTCTCAGACATCCCTAGGTCATCAGTCAGATGAATGATCAAAGTATGAGCATTTACTTTTAACAAGGCAGCTGACCTGGGAGGCCTTGCTTTAATGAGGGCTTCAGTGGATTCTGGGAGCTCTGGTGGCATAGTGCCTAAGGCATTTGGCTGCTAACCAGAAGGCTGATGGTTCAAACTTACCAGCCACTCCTGGGAAGGAAGATGGGCACTCTACTTCTGTAGTGATACCGCCTTGGAAACCCAAGGAGGGTCACTATGAGTCAGGTCTGACTCTACAGCAGTGAGTTTGGTTTGGTTTTGGTTTTGAGTGCATTCTATTTATTCCCTCCCATTCCTACTGCTACCACAGATGTGAGCCTGAGCTTGTAGTTTCCTAACCACTTGACTTTGTTACCTTCAGTCTCTCTCCAGTCTGAGCCATCTTGCTCAGTACAAGCAGAGTACTGGCCCAAAATACTGCTTTCCGTATTTCCCTGTTCAAGAGGTTACAAGGCCTTCCAACCCTGTTCCACCTGGACCAGTTCTGGTCCCATGGCTAGCCTTTCAAGATGTGCACCATTATTGCCCAGCTTTCTCTGGTACGTTTTCCTTTAAAAAAAAAAAAAAAATGTCGCCAAGGAGTTGATGTGAGAAGCAGGGAGAGGACAGAAAAGGCAAAGGGGACAGGAACAGATCGAGGAGTCAGCCTCAGGGACCTAGGTGAAGACAGGGAACCCAGGCCACACCCCACAGTGAGCGAGTTGGGAAGGCAGGGAGAGGACAGAAAAGGCAAAGGGGACTGGAACAGATTGAGGAGTTAGCCACAGGGGTCCAGGTAAGGGTGGTTGGAGGGGTTTCCAACAGCTAAGGGAGACAAACTTCTCTGTTGGTTTGTCCTGCTATGGTGATGTGTTGCTGTGAGTCTTGAGGCTGTGCCACTGGTGTTTCAAATCCAGTGGGGTACACCTGTTGCACAGGTATCAGCCCGGCTTGCAGACAAACAGACAAGGAAGAAGGAGGAAGCCATCCACTTCTCAAAGAATTGGCCAGGGAAAACCTTACGAATACCACAGAATGTGGAAATTATCGAACAGTATCATTAATATCACACACAAGTAAGATCTTACTGAAGATAATTCAAAAATGGTTGCAGCAGTACATTGACAGAACTTCCAGAGGTGCAAGCTGGATTCAGAAGAGGATGTGGAACAAGGGATATCATAGCTGCTGTCAGATGGATCTTGGCTCAAGGCAAATAATACCAGAAAGATGTTTACTTGTGCTTTATTGACTTTGCAAAGGCATTTGATTCTGTGGATCATGACAAATCATGGATAACATTGAGAAGAATGGGAATTCCCGAACACTTGATTGTACTCGTAAGGAACCTGTACCTTGACCAGGAGGCTGTTGTTCAAACAGAACAAGGGTCCGGACACTGCATGGTTTAAAATCAGGAAGGGAGTGTGTCAGGGTTGTATCCTTTCCCCATACTTATTCAATCTATATGCTGAGCAAATAATCCAAGAAGTTGGACTATATGAAGAAAAATGTGACATCAGGATTGGAGGAAGAATCATTAACAACCTGAGATATGCTGATGATATACCTTTGCTTGCTGAAAATGTGGATGACTTGAGGCACTTACTGATGAAGATTAAGGAACACAGTCTGTAGTATGGATTACATCTCAATATAAAGAAGACAAAAATCCTCACAACTGGACCAATAAGCAGCATCACAATAAATGGAGAAAAGATTGAGGTTGTCAAACAATTCACGTTGCTTGGTTCTACAATCGAGGCCAATGGAAGCAGCAGTCAGGACATTAGATGACGTGTAGCACTGGGCAGGGTGGCTGCGAAGGAACTCTTTCAAGTGCTGAGGAGCAAGTATGTCTCCTTGAGGACTAAGGTGCGCCTGACACAAGCCACAATATTTCCAATCGCCTCCTATGCATGTGAGAACTGCACAATGAATAAGGAAGACCGAAGAAGAGTTGATGCTTTTGAGTTGTGGTGCTGGCGAAGAATGTTGAAGGTACCATGGACTGCCAAAAGAACTAACAGATCTGTCCTGGAGGAAGTGCAGCTGAGATGCATCTTGGAAGCGAGGATGGCCAGACTTCGTCTCACCTACTTTGGTCATGTTGTCAGAGGGGCCCATTCTCTGGAGAAGGATGTCATGCTTGGTAGGGTGGAGGGTCGATGAAAGAGGGGAAGGCCTTCCAGAGATGGATTGACACGGTGGCTGTGACAATGGGCTCAAGTATAGCAAGGATCGTGGAGCTGGCATGGGATTGGGCGGTGTTTCGTTCTGCTGTGCATGGGGTCGCTAAGAGTTGGAAACGACTCGAAGGCACTTAACAACAACAACAACATGGGGACCCCATGTATGTCAGAGTAGAACTATGCTACAAAGAGTTTTTAGTGGCTGGTGTTTTGGAAATAGGCTTTTCCTTCCAAGAGGTCTCAGGTAGACTTGAACCTCCAGCCTTTTGGTTAGCAGCTGAAAACGTTAACGTTTCCACCACTTAGGTATTTCATGCTGCCCTTATTCCCTGTCATTCCCACCTCGACTCTTTTCCTTTGTATTTTTTAATTGATCAGACAATATATGCACATAGTTCAAAATTTTAAAAGACTGGAAGAATATGTAATGAGAATAAAGTCTATCGCTTTATGTTCTTTCATCACCAAGTTCCCCTCCCAGTACAAAAAAAACCAGACACACAAGCCTTTCAAATTATGGTGCTAGTCTCCACAAAGGGGGAGCTCTGGTGGTCTAGTGCCTAAGGCATTAGCCTACTAACCAAAAGGCTGGCGGTTCAAACCCACCAGCCACTCCTCGGAAGGAAGACTGGGCAATCTACATCAGTAGTGATACTGCCTAGGAAACCCAAGGAGGGGTCACTATGAGTCGAAATCGACTGGACGGCAGTTGAGTTTGGTTTGAGAGTTTGAGTCTCCACCATACGTGCTTTAGCTTATTCTGTTCCTGTTATTTGAATGTCCTTCCTAAAGCCCTCACGGAACCATCACAGGATAAGGAAATGATGCTGTTCGATCGAACGTTTTACTCGCAACAAGTATGGGGACTCCTGAAGGGCAGTATCCGTGCTTGAGGCACGTGCTTGCCATTCAGTAAGGTTTGGTATATACCACAAAAGGATAAATCACCGGAACAGCGATCACCCTGAGAGGAAGTAGGTTCTCTGCACAAGTACACACTGACCAGTCAGTCTCTTGTCTGAGAGACCCTCTCCTTTCATCTGCATCCCTGCTTACTCCAGTCTACCTACTTCCACTCTCCTCCGGAGCTCATAACCACCAACCGTACATACCTCGCAAAAAATCGCGCGGCTGCTGGCTGGAAGAATTTTGTCCAGTCCGCTCCCCGTCTTTACTCGCGGAGGTAGCGGCAGCGTCCGTGTGCGTCATTGCGCAGCCGCAGTTCTGGGGGAGTGGGAGGGGCCGGCTGTTGGCGGCAGTTGGCGCGGCCCGGGAAGCGGCTGCACGTGCGGGCGGGGGCGATGCGTCACTGATCGGTGAGGCTCGGCCAGGGGGATCGGCCTCCCTCCGGAGCTGGCAGCTGGGCACCTTTTCAGTGCCTTCCAGCGGGAGAGCAACTGTTGGGAGAGGGGATGTCGTGACGCTCACCTCGCCGGGGTTGGCCCACGGGCCGCCTCGAGCGGAGTGGTTGGCGAGGGGCATGCCGTCTCTGCAGCGAAAGGAAAACGAGGAGAAGAGTGGCACAGGACTCTGGCTCGGCAGAGTCCGGGCTTCTGGTCTCCGGAGGGGGAGGGTGGTTACTAGAGGGGGCGGGCCTGTCACTCATGGGGCTGGGGGTCCTTCCCTCTCTCATCCAGGAGGAACAAGGATGAATATGACTCAAGCCCGGGTTCTGGTGGCTGCAGTGGTGGGGCTGGTAGTTGTCCTCCTGTACGCCTCCATCCACAAAATCGAAGAAGGACACCTAGCTGTGTACTACAGGTGAGCGGCATGTGCTGTCAGATAAGGTTCTAGAGCAGATAGAAAGGGGAGCCTTAGAGTGGAATGCAGGAAGTTGTTCCCTGTGAAGCGTCCGGGAGAGCGCTCCCCAGCCCTCGGAAGTGATTTTCGTTCCAGCCCTAGGCAAAGTATGCGGACAGCAGCAGGGTTTTGCAGGGCACCCTGCAGGTGTTTGACATTTCGTTCTACGTACGTTTTGTTGCAGACGTTGACCCCTGCCTGTTACTCTTAGTACACTCCACTCAGTTATTTGTAGGAAGAAGGCAGGCGGATAGGCTGATGTCATTCCGCCTGTAACCAAAGAGATAAGTTATTGTTATATTCTACATAACTGTGTAAGCTTCTAGTTTGTAGCTATAGATGCTATTTAGAGAATCCAGTTGGGTTTTTCCTTTTAAGACCCCGAGTATGTCTGGCTTTTAAGGCCTTGGTGACTGTGGCAGTCAGGGTATCTCTGTGTCTTGAGGGACATCAACAGGATTGATGGGCCACCACCCTCCCTCCTCAAGGTTACTTTTCAAGCTGAGGAGAGGAATGGTATGAAATGTGTTGCTGTAGTTGAGCCTGCATACCCTTTCCTTCAGGGTAACCTGGGAAGGAACTTTAAGTTTTTGCTTGTTGCTCTTATTCCCCAAATCTGGTATTTCTACTTTTAGGCCCATCTTGAATCTTCCTTAGAAACAGTTTTCTAGGAAGCTGGTTTCAAGTACAACTCTAGTATAAGAAATGACAGATTAGGCCTGATTTCCGTCTGGTTCAGCTTTTCTTGCTGACAATAATACCAAGGAAAGAAGGTTTCAGGGTGTGGCTCAAAGAATTAGGTAGGAAACTCAAATAGTTCCTCTTGCCTTAGTTATTTGTTATTGGGTCTTTGCAAATCTGTTTATATTTTCAGGACAGGAAACTGAGTTCTATGAATTCATTATTAACTGTGAAGTAGGACTTTTTTTATATTTGCCCCCAAACTCCTCCCTTTTAAAAAAAAAAAAAAAAATTTTGAGGTGGACTTTCCCACATTTGCTTGTTTGCCAAACAAGTCCTTGTTCATAGCCTATCTATAATCCCTACCCTTCATCTTTCTATGCTATTTTCTTTTTCCTGTTTTTATAAAGCGATTTTACACCCTTAGTGTTTTAGTTGCCTTGCAGATAGGTTGAGAGAATCTTAAGCCTCAGAAATTTTCTCCTTCCTTGAAAGTTTGTGTCTCCTTTTTTTCCAGCCCTGCAATTCAGTGTTCTGATTTCACTTTTATTATGTATGAGGAAAGCACAGGAACTGTGAGCCCTTGGAATTTTTTTTCCACAAGTGTTTCTCAGAAGGGTAGTAACCAAGGAGAATCCTTTGAACGTGAGAGCAGTGCTGGAGACCCAGAGGGATAGTTGGCCGAGCTTATGAAACAAGGTGTAACATCCAGTAGTTTAATTTGGCCTTTTCACCTTTTGGGGTGTTTTAGGCAGGTATTTTAGAGAGTGGCACTTGTTCACTATGAGTAATTTATGTTAGGAAGGCTTTAGTATAGTAGGTCAGTAGCATGAGTAAGAGTGAATATTTGTTACAGCATTTTCTATTTGGAAAGAGAATTTCTCTCTTTATAATCTTGTCAAATTGAAACATCTTTTTGCAGGGGAGGAGCTTTACTAACTAGCCCCAGTGGACCAGGCTATCATATCATGTTGCCTTTCATTACCACGTTCAGATCTGTGCAGGTGAGTGATTTCTAGGGAAGCCCCCATACTGGATAGACAAGTGTAGCAGGAGCAGTAACCACGCTTGTGGGTGGAGATGGATTTCCTTATTGCTTAAGCAGGTGGTGGTAGTTACTTAAATGCAGGAGTTAAAGTTCAGAGTACAAATGTCATAGCACAAGTTATGATTTTGAACCACTTCACTCTCTTGACATGCATTGGAAGTGTGAGCTAGTCAGCTTGGAAAGCCTAACTTCTGCCATCTGGACAGTGGTATGCAGCAGGTTTTCTGTAACTGTTTGTTGCTACTCTCAAAATAAAAGCAAGAATTGGGAACACAGCTAGAAATGCAAACCAGTGACTGCCTGGTTTAGAACGTTGTTTGGTTTCCATAGAGGCAGGCTCCTGGGCTACTGTTTTCATGGGTGATCTGAATTTCTATAAGTATGCAGTTTTTCTGTGGTAGCGTAGTGCCTAAGACATGTGACTGGTAACCAGAAGGCTGGCGGTTCAAACTCACCAGCCACTCCTTGGAAGGAAGTATCTATAGTGATACTGCCTCAGAAACCCAAGGAGGGGTCACTGTACGTTGGATCCAACTCCACGGCAGTGGATTTGGTTTTTTTTTTTTTTAATACAGTTTTTCTGCCTAGTGCATTGGGCACAGTTTTAAGTGGAACCTTACTGTTTTGACAGTAGAATATTTTAAATAAGTGTCTGATCATCTGGAATAGTATCTTGGCCATGAGAGACACCTAGTATATACATATCTTATAACATAAGATGACAGTATGGTTAGGCTGTGACTGCTTTTGTAAACTCTATATACTTACAGATCTTTGCATTCAGAAGATATTTGTTTCCCATTTGCTGCCAGTTTTTCAGAATTCAGGAAAATGTCATTTAATCTTGTTGAGTCAGCCCCTGACTTCGGCGACCCTGCACACAATGGGATTGGACCATGTGATTCATAGGGCTTTCATTGGCTGATTATTGAGGTGTAGCTCGTCAGACCTTTCCTGTAGTTTGTCTTGGTCTGGAAGCTCTGATGAAACCTGTTCTGTGGAGGCGTCATGGACTCATGCAGGCTCCCACTGAGGGACGGGTGGTGGCGGTGCACTGGGTGTGTTGGCTGGACACCAAACCTGCGTCTCCTGCCTGGAGGGCGAGAATTCTGCTGCTGAACCACCGTGCTTGCTGTTTAATCTTAGCCTTGTCATTGAGGTCTGTGCTTCCTGCGAAGGAAGAGTCCCACAAGGAATACTTCAATCCCCAAAGTTTCCTTCTGGTCCTCTCTTACGTGGCTTAGGGTGAGAATTTGTCTATTGAGAGATGTGATGGTCTTCCCTTCAATTGGTTTCCATCTAATTTCCCTGTGGTGGTTATGTTTGTGTGTCAACTTGGCTGGGCCTGGTGACTGGCTGGGCAGCAGGTGGTAGTTATTCCCCATGATGAGACAGGCAATCAACTCCATGGTGGGATCTACCACAAGCAGCTGAGTAGCTGCCTTTAGGAATGTGGTCTGCTTCTTGTATATAAGGAGAAGCTTTGGGAATGATCTCCAGTCTTTGGCACGCTTGGACCCTGCATGTAGCCATGTCATTGCTCAGCAGCCTGCTATGCTCTGCCGACCTTAGGACTTGCCATGGACTTAAGTTAATGGCCTGCCATGTAGTTTGGTAACATCGGGACTGTGCCTTTTTACTTGTCAGCCTTGGGGCTTCTCAGCCTCAGCAGCCAGCAGCTGTCTGAGTGAAGAAACGCCTCTAGCTCCAGTGGGCTGGGAGCAGGAGGCAGAGCTGGACCCCAAGTTTGAGGGGCTTTCACTCAGCCCCTAGAGCCTGGCACTTTGAACTTGGACTTAAAGCCTCCAAATTTTAAGAATAAACTCCTGTTTGTTAAGGCCATCCCATTTTTGGTATATTTCTTGTCAAAGCAGCACTAGGTAATCAGAACATTCCCCATGTTTATTTTATTCACTCTTGCCTTGGTTCATGTTCACCTCTTCTCTCACCATCTGCCCCTCCATTCCTTCTCTTTCTTCCTGTCTAAATCTTGCCGGCCTTTTTTAGGCTTATCTCAAATCCCTCAACCTCTCATCTATGGCTCTTAAAAGTCTGTAATACAAGTGTTGGCCCTTGGTCTTAATTCATTTAATAATATTGTCTTTTGTTGTTCTTTAAGTTTCGGTGTATATTTTCTTTCCAGAAAGTCTGTGTGCTTCCGGAGGGTTAGGGGCAGGGGTTGTGTCATCCTTACTTACATTTCTGCTCTTCCCATTTAGGGCAGAAGTTGTTAAATTGAGCAGATTTCATAAGAAGTAGTGTGGCATAGTGAACATGGGGCCAGGAATTTGGACAGTTCGGTTCTGGCTCTGCCTCTTCCACCAGGTTGCATGACTTTTGGCAAATCACTTAACTATTGTAGACTTCAGTTATTTCTTTGTGAAAGTGGGATTTTAATTACTTGACCTCACCTTCCCAGCAGCCCAGACAAACAGTCTGTGTTGATGTTATCAGTAGCAGCATTGGACCCTGAGATATAGAGACTTATTAGATGACGTTCAAAGCCAGATAAATCTGTGTCTCCTTAAAGCTTAATAAGTTAAGTCATCATACGCATGCAGAGCTATATAAAGGAGATACAGACAATAAATATTAAATAGATTTAAGAGTTTAATTACCTAAATAATAAATATAATACATAGGAGCTCTGGTAGCATAGTGACTAAAGCACTTGACTGCTAACCAGAAGGTTGGCGGTTCAAACCCACCAGCCACTCCTCAAAAGGAAGGTTGGGCAATCTACTTCCCTAGTGATAACTGCCTCGGAAACCAAAGAAGGGGTTGCTATGAGTCGGGTCTGCCTTGACAGCACATAATACATAGTATAAATGTAAACTCTTTGATAAATTCATTTGATAAGAGATATAATAAATGAAATTAGTAAAAAAATTTTAGTATAGACTAATATGCTTTGCATTAACAAAAAATGGAATGCTAGGGCCAGTGAGACTAAATAGGAATGTTCTTTCTTTGTATGTGAAATAGTAACATTCTAGCAAGAATTATGTTAATAAAAGTCTTTTAAGACACTGTTCTTATGAGAATGAGATATAAATTCATTTTTTTTAGGAATTTTTGGGGCACGTTTAACGACACGGCCTAATATAAATAAATGGTTTAACTAACTTGGTAATTGGAAAGCATGTATAGATGGATGAAGCATCTTGGGAAATGTGAAATCCCATATATCAATGTTACAGAAAAGAATACTTAAAGAAGTGGTGTGAAACCTATAGCTTTCAAAGTACATGTAAAATAACCAAAGACTCATTTTCAGAACCAATATTCTGTTATGGTGGCCAAATAATTTTTTAAGATAAAAGAAGTAGAGCAGTACATGGAGATTTATTTAAGAAAAAAAAATGTTGCTGTCTAGTCCATTCCAACTCATGACAACCCTACAGGACAGAGTAGAACTGCCTCATGGGGTTTCCAAGGTGGTAGATCTTTATGGAAATAGACTGCCACACCTTCTGCCCCAGGGTGGCTGGTGGGTTCAGGCTGCCAACCTTGTGGTTAGCAGCTGAGTGCATAACCACTGTATCACCAGAGCACCAAACATTAAATTGAGTATTTAACATTTGAACTCTGCTCATTCTTCTTGGTTGAAAAACTGACCAGAGAATATCCTTTAGTTTAAAATAGGAATGTATATTTTATTTAAAGTTGGTGTAGAATATGGAAATTCAATTCTGTTAATGTTTTGAAGGAAATAAAATAAGTTGACCTCATCTCTTCACCCCTCCCCTTTTCCTAGAAGTGTCACTAATGTTTACCATCACCCCTATTCTTTTCCTTCCTGGAATGTTATATGCAACTAGTTTTCACATCCTTCCTCTATTATGTCTCCTGTGTTGACTGCTTTAAATACCTTTGTCCTTTACTAAATTCACCTGAATAAATTAATATTTGAGCTTCCCAGCTAGTTTTCTTGCTTCTAGTTATGATGGATAATGAGAACCACATCACATATTTGCAAGGGAATTAAGTAAAGAACGTATTATTGAAAGATTCATTTTGTGACTGTATATACGGTAGACTAGGGAAAGCCTAGACTCCCCAAACAACATGCAGGGTCCTCCTGTACCTAACACCACCATGTTCTCAGAATCTCACTTCTCATCTAAATTGCCCTTCTCCAAGCAAGCTGGGGGGCTTCATGTCTCCTATACACAGTTTGTTCTCACTTTTGTGTATCTGAAAAGGATATTTACTGAATTTAAGATATTGGTATGCCTCAACTGTTAGTTCTTGTGTCTCCTCTCTCCAGACCTGGCTTAGGAGCCATGGTGGCTCATTGGTTAAGCGCTTGGCTGTTAACCAAAAGGTTAGTGGTTCAGACCCACTCAGAAGCTCCATTGGGGAAAGATGTACAAGGCCTCCAAAGATTTACAGCCTTGGAAACCTTATGGGGCGGTTCTGTTCCGTCCTGTAGAGTTCCTATACGTTGGAATTGACTCAACAGCAGTAGGTTTGGTTTGGTTTTTGGTAGACCTGGTTTATAAATATTTCACCTCAGAGAGCTTCTCAAGCTACTATTTTATTCTCTGTCACTTAACACGTAACAGCTCAGCTTGTGTGGTGTTATTTTGTAACTGTTGATGGGTTGAATTTTAAGGATATTATCTCTTCTCCTAGATTGAGCTGTTGGCAAACAGTCCAGGTTTCTTTTTTCTTTTGTGTTCTGTAAGGTAGTATGTTGCTTTGTGCTTAAATAAGGGGTTGTGTGTCCAGAATACACTCATTGGATGCAATTGGAGGCTATTAAAGGCCTTTGAGTGCAGTATGGGATCATCTTGGATCAGAACTAAGGTGTGACGTGGATAAGACGGTCGTGCACTGTATTACTGGTTTGACAGTTCATGTCCACAAGTTGCTCCATGGAAGGAATATGGGGCAATCTACTTCTGTAAAGATTTGCCACCTTGGAAACCCAGCAGGGGTCACTATGAGTCAGAATTGACTCAAAGGCAATGGGTTTGGTGTTTTGGTTTTGAGGGGTGGTAGTGGAATTTCCATTGGAAAGAAAATTGATAGTCTGTGTGAGATCTGTAGGGCCTAAACTAAAATATTGACTGTAGCTTTAGAGAAGAGGGGTGCTGTTAAATTCAGGAGCGTAGACTTTGAGTCATAGATTGCTTGAATATACATAAAAGTTATCTTTTATCTTTAGTGTAAACAGTAATATGGGCAGTTGAATCAAAGTTCAGAGCACAAGTCCTAGCTGTAGTGGCCTGTTGGGTGACAGTGTAGTTTGCTTGCATTCCCAGGCTAGCTCTGGGCACTGTGGGAATCTGGAAGAGTATATTTCTACTTATTAGCATTTGAACCCTTTCCTAGTGTATCAGACATGAGCTTTGAAACGTTTTGTCTCAAATCTTTCTACTAGGATACAAAGTAATGATTCATTCCTATGATAGCTAATCTTTGGGGACTGAAATTGTAACAATGCTCTCCTGTACTTCTCAGCAGTCCTCCAGAGGTTTTCCCCTGGGATCAGTAGCTCTTTGAAGATGTGTGTCCTGAGTATTGATGATATATTTTTTCCTCCCCAGACAACATTACAAACTGATGAAGTAAAAAACGTGCCTTGTGGGACAAGGTAAGTTTTCCTCTTGCTTACCAGCCTCCCATTAGTTCACATGGAGTTTCTGTTCATAAAGCTGTGATCATTTAGACATATTTCAGACAGACATGACAGTAACCCAGGGGAATTTCTGTTCTGAGCACTATTTGAGCAGAGGCTTATCTGTAACGGAGAGGTTTTCATATTCAGAGCCATTGTGGTGTTACTGAAAAAAGTGTGAGTTGTTGAGCCCGCAGCCATGATACCACATATCGGCATTGCTGCATCTGCTTTAGGACGTAGTTTCCTTGCTTGTACAAATTAGTAATAAACCTACCTTGCAGAGTTATTGTAAAGATTAAAATTACTGCATATAAAGTGTGTAGCCCATCACTCGGCCCAGAGTAGGTGTTCAGTTAAAGATAGTTTTAAATGAAATCATCCCACCTTCTTCCATCTGGACTATTAAATGTCATCTAATTGAGAGTTTCTGATTCAGTAGTCTGGAAGAAGGCCTGAGAATTTTCTTTTCTAACAAAAGTTCTCAGGTAGGGTTGATACTGTTAGTCTAAGGACCTCACTCTGGGAATCACTGCCCTGAAGAGCTTTAGGGAGAGAAAGGCAAGTGAGGCCCACATTGTTTCCAGAGCATAATCAGTACATTGAATTGTATCAGAGGAAGTATGTAAAGTCCAAGGTGTTTCTTAAATGACCTAAATAACATCAGTGCCTGTAATAAAAGAGCCTTTGACATCTATGGAGAGAAAGGCTTTTGAAAATGGAGCAAACCCCTTCTGTGTTTCAAGTTAACATATCTGATTATCAGGTTCTTGCTGGGGGTCTGTAACTCTTCTTTGGTTTTTCTTTAAAGATGATTTAAAACTGACAGCTGGTGGGCTTTGGGGTAATTCTTACTTTCATCAAAATACTTTTGTAAGTTTCCCAGATTTCCTTCATTGGGCAGATGTTACCATTTATTATTAGAAAAAAAAATGGTATGGTAAATTGGTAGGAAGACTTAGTTATTTCTATAGAATTTGAAAATCTCTAACTTTGTGTCTTTGTGTCTGTTCAATTGAGGTATGCGTAACCCCACAAGGTAGGTGCTGGTAAGCTAGGAAGTATAGGAAGCCATAAAGAAGACCTGTCTTTAGTGCCAGTTTACTTGAGGGTTTGGAGGAAAGCTCTGTTTTTCCTATTAGGATCAATACAGACACAAGAAGTAGATTGAAAATCCTGATGAAATTGTTAACATAAGATAGGGGATATCAGAAGAAATTTTCAGACTGGCCTCCAAAGCTCTTAGAAACCCTTTCACTTTACATGGTTCCTTGGTGGAAAAGTGCAGAAGTGCACTGCTTTAAGTGATGACTTCAGTTAATTAGGGCAAAGTACTAACTACCTCTAGGTTAGAGATTGAGTCCTCATGTGAGCTGGTTTGATCACAGCTGTTATAGAGGTGGGCCTTTGATTAAGAAAGGAGCTAGATGAGTGTTGTAGGCAGAATAGTAGTGCCCTCTTGACCCCTGGAAGGGTCCTTTTAATCAAGCAGGAGCAAGTCTGTATATTTTCATCATAAATATCTGCCATGTAGCATATATTTAGGCATATAGAATTTGTGATTTATGATAGGTTTGTATTTGATTTATATGCCTTCCATTTCTTTGTTTTCAGTGGTGGGGTCATGATTTATATCGACCGAATAGAAGTGGTTAACATGTTGGCTCCGTATGCAGGTAGAGTACCCATCTGTTCTTTTTGTTGTTGTTTTCAATAGTTACCACCAGAGTGCTTTTTATTTGACAGATTCCCTGGGGAATAGGAAGGTACTTGTAAAGTTTCATGACATCAGTGGCTTCTGATAAATGTGAAAGAATATAGGGTTGATTTTCTGCAGCTGTGTGGGTGGTTCTTCTCTAGGTAGAAAAGCCTCTAAGAACAAGATGATATTGATTCTTTCTAGAATTGGACAGTAGCATTTTATCCAGTCAGAAATTGTTTCCTGTGTGGTAAAAATTGATTGATTCCTTGGGGCCATGATTTTTCTTACCATACGAACTGAACTCATTGCCATCGAGTCAGATCCGACTCAGAGCGACCCCTCCTTGGGTTTCCGAGGGGTATCACTGTGGAAGTAGATTGCTCAATCTTCTTTGAGGAGTGGCTGCTGGGTTTGAACCTCTAGCCTTCTGGTTAACAGGCAAATACCTTACGCACTACACCACCAGAGCTCCTTTTCTTACCATAGAGAAGTCTTTTCTAGTTGATATTTGCTGTAACTTACAAAGCAGTCTCAAACTGCCCAGTGAAGGAAAAACATTTTCTTGGTAAAAAGATGAAAACTTACCGAGAGGGAATGGGCATTGTTCAAATGAAAAACTTAATTAGAGGCTATGGCAGAAGTGTAAACATTTTATCTTTATTCTTCTTGTCAACACTAGTAGGCCTGCTATGTGCAGATTACTGTGCTGGGAGTGACAGTTCAGAGAGGTGAAATTACAGCCTCTGCCCTCAAGGAGTTTTTAATTTTACTTGAGAAAACATGGGACCTAAGCATCACAGATATAGGCAAAAATAGTGAAAAGATTTCAGAGCAGAGAGCAGGCTGTATTGCTGTTGAATGAATTTGGATCTGTTTTTAAGCATTTTCCTTATCTTTTTTTTTTTTTTTTTAAATCTACTTTCCCTAGTGTAAAATGCAAGTAGTGGTAGTAGTGGTAGTGTCATCAGAGCCTGTCTAACTGCAAGGGGGATAATGACCAGGACCAGCCCAAAGCTGATCCCTACGAAGTGTAGGTCAGACAGCACCTCCACTCGCCAGCCTTTTTACCAACTCTGACCGCATCCTTCCCACACCACTCTCTACTTCTCTTCTGTGTTCAATAATCCATTGAAATGGCCACACAGAACTCACAGACCATACTTACACTTGAGTGGTTTATTAAGGTACAGGGTGCAACTCAGGATCAGGATCCAAAGGATACAACTCAGGAATCAGGGTTAGAAAGCATGTAGGCACAGTCTCCCTTCTTTAGTGCAAGACAGCTCTTTCAGCTCCTCCAGCTCCCTGAGGACAAGCTCCTCTTGGCCTGGCTGGCTGGCACTACCAGCTCTGCTGCTGGGCCTGTTGCCCCTGGCTCTGCCCCTGGGCCCCTTTCTGGCCTGTTGCTGCTGGCTTTGCCCCTGGGCCCTGTCCAGGCCTCTCACTGTCTTCAGGGTTGCAGCCCGTGGCCATTGTTAGAGCCCTTTCAGAAGCTTTCTTGCGTCTTCTTTCTCTCAGCTTCTTCCTGTTGCTTTTCTTCTTTCTGTCTGACGTACCTCTGTGGGGCTGGCTGCTTACATATACAAACTCCTTGTCAACTTCAAGGCATGGTACTTCCACCAGGGCCTTGAACTGACCAGTCCTCCCTTACTAGGCTGCAGACGCTTCATTTGCGTACTAGGCATGGCTTGCAAGGTATATACCAGTATTTACACATACCCCACAGGGTATGATGCACCTGGCTGCAGACCAGGACCAGACAAAAATGTCAAATCAAGTTGTTTACAGCTTACCCAGGAGATGTTAGTCAACCTGGACAAAAGTAACAAAGCCTTGGGCGAGAAAACCAGGGCAGAGGTAACTTGTTATGGCTTGGGGAAAATCTCTCAAGCTGTTTTTCCGAAGAACCAAGGAAAAAGGCCACATAAAGGAGCTCGTTTCACCACCAGACCAAACCCACTGCCATTGAGTCAATTCGACTTGTAGGGACTCGCGTCGGTTTTCCTAGGCTGTAAGTCTTTACGAAAATAGATTGCCTCATCTTCCTCCTGCGGAGCAGCTGGTGGGTTCAATCCGCCTGTCTTTTGGTTAGCAGCCCAATTCCTAAACCACAGTGCCACCATAGCTCCTTCATTTCACCACACCTGATCACAAATCATTGGAATGAATTACAGTGAGAAAAACAGAAAAAGGGAAGAGACTGGTGGCTCTTTAGCCAGAAGTGAATAGGAAACTATCAGATCACCAATTCACATGGAAAATGATGGAGCAAATGAGTCGTGGCATTGAATATGCCACGTGGGAGGCCAGTGAGGCACGTCCTTCGGTCTGCAGGCAGAAAGCAGCCGGTTACAGTAGCTAGAGCACAGCGTCTGACATGCGCTAGTTATTCCCTTTGGCACATTTCTAAACTTCTGGTTCTCAGTGTCCTGATATGTAAAATTAAAAACTTTTATTAAGATTAAGTGCTAATATATGTAAATTGTATAATATAAAGCCTGGTCCAGTAAATGTTAGCTGCTCTCCCTTCTAGCCTGGTATCTTTGACATAGCCTTCAGAAACTGCCTTTCTGTTTATTTTTTATTATATTCTTTTAATTGTAGTTTGGGTGAAAGTTTACACAGCAAATTAGTTGTCCGTTTTCCAACTCATGCACATTTTGTTTTGTGACATTGGCTGCAAGCTCCTCGGTGTAACAGCACTCTTCCCACTTCCTCGGGTTCTGTTGTCATTCATCCTTCTTTACTGCCCTTCAGAGGCTCTGTTTTTGGACAGTGCTGACCTTTTGAGTTCATACAGTTCATTGAATTGAGGAGTATATTCCTCCCTGGTGTGTCTACTCACTTTATAGATCTGTCTGTTGTTTGGCTGAAAGTTGATCTCCAGGGATAAGTTCAGTTCCAAGCTTGAGTGACGTTTAAGGGCCACAATTGCAGGGTTTCCACCAGTCTCTATCAGACCAGTAAATCTGGTCTTTTTCATGATTTTGAATTTTGGTCTACATTTTTTTTCCCCTCCTTCTATGTCTAGGATCTTTTATTGTGATGCTGATCAGGGCAGTAGGTCATGGTAGATGGCCACTGTCTAGTTCTTCTGGTCTCAAGGTAGAGAGGAAGCTGTGGTTTGCATCCTTTGGACTGTTTACTTCCTTGATTCTTGATTTTCTTTACTCTTCTTTTCTCCTGGTGAGGAGAGACCAATAGTTGCATCTTAGACAGCTGTTTGCAAGCTTTTAAGACCCCAGCCACTGCTCACTATTATAGTAGGATGTAGAACATTGTCTTTGTGGACTGTGTTATGCTGGTTGACCTAGATGTTCCCCAAGACAGTGACTCATTCCCTCAAGGTATTGGTTGTGGCTAAGAAGTTTCAGAACTTTGCCTCCTGTATGCTGTTGTATCCTTGAGTATATGGGCGGCACATAGAAATACATGTATCGAAATGTCCTCTCTCAAACCTATATAGACTCTTGTACTCCCATTCGTCTTCCCACATCTGTTCAGCTTGCGTGTCTACCTGTGTATCTGGTTATAGGTATTGTTTGTTATTACTATTATGGCAGGACTGTGTATGTGATAGTCTTTACCCTTGTTGTCTTTTACTCATGTTACCTCTTAGTGTCTTACTTTACCTTGGTCATGCTGTGCAGTTCTACCTCTTATTGTACACTGTCTTTCCCTTCACCTCAGTTAATACATGTGTACTCTCTAGTTAGTGATTTTCCCGCTCTTCTCTCCCCATCCCTGATAGCCATCACAGAATGTTTCTTTCTGTGTGTAAACCTTTTCCTTACTTTTTCCAGTAATGGTCTCATACAGTATTTGTCCTTTTGTAATTGACTTGCTCTGCATACTGTCCTCCAGATTCATCCATGTTACGAGGTGTTTCACAGATTCTGTTATTCTTTAATGTTGCATAGTATTCCATCGTGTGTATGTACCATAGTTTATCCTTTTATCTGTTGAAGGGCACTTAGGTTGTTTCCATCTTTTTACTATTGTAATTAATGGTGTGATGAACATAGGTGTACATATATCTATTCGTGGCATGGCTCTTATTTTTCTAGAATATATACCTATTAGTGGGATTCTGGATCATATGGTATTTCTATTTCCAACTTTTTAAGGAAGCACCATACTCTTTTCCATATTATTGTGTCATTTTACAATTCCACCAGCAGTGTACGAGAGTTCCAATCTCTCTACATCCTTGCCAGCATTCATTGTTTTCTTTTTCTGTTAATGCTAGGGTGAGATGATTGTTGTTTTGATTTGCATCTCTTTAATGGCTAATGATCTCAAGCATTTCTTCTTGTGTTTGTTAGCCACCTGTATGTTGTTTTTGGTGAACTGTCTGTTCATGTCATTTGTCCATTTTTTAATCAGATTGTTTGTCTTTTGTTTCAAGGTGTTCAAGTTTTCTATAACATCAGTCCCTTGTCTGATATGTCATTGCCAAAAATTTTTACCCAGTCTGTAGGTTCTCTTTTTAATCTTTTGAAGAAGTCTTGTGATGCACCTGAGTGTTTAATTTTTAGGAGGTCCCAGCCATCTAGTTTAAGTTCTACTATTTTTGCATTTTGAAATATGTTTAATTGTGTATTTATGCCATGTAGTAGGGCCCCTAAGTTTATCCTTATTTTTTCTTTAATGGTCTTTATAGTTTTAGGTTTTACATTTAGGTCTTTTATCCATCTTGTTAGTTTATGTATATGGTGTGAGGTTTGGGTCCCATTTCATCTTTCTGCAATGGATATCCGGTTTTGCCAGCACCATTGTTAAAGAGACTGTCTCTTCCCCCATTTAATGGATTCCATTCCTTTGTTGAAGATCAGTTGTTCATAGGTGAATTTGTTTACTTCTGGGTTCTCAATTCAGTTCCTTAATTAGGTTCCATTGATCTGTATGTCTGTCACTGTACCAGTACTAAGCTGAAAATTTGTCTTTTTAAATACATTCTCCTACATTCCTGGTTCTTCATAGTGTAGGCCCAAACAATGTTTTTTAAAAGCAGCCATAACCTACCTTTTTTATAATAGTCTTTTGTAGCTGCTTCCCTTTATTTAAAACCATTGTTCCTCATTTAAAGGAGCCATGGTAGTGCAGTGGTTAAAGACCTCAACTGCTAACTGAAAGGTCAGTGGTTCGAACTTACCAGCTACTCCACTCCACAAGAGAAAGGTGTAGTCTGCTTCCATAAAGATTTCAGCCTTGGAAACTCTGTGGGGCAGTTTTGCTCTGTCCTGTAGAGTTGCTATGAGTCAGTATTGACTTGACAGCACTGGGTTTGGTTTGGTATTTTGGTTTCTCAGTTAGCTCAGGTCCTTTTTATTGTGTAGCCAAACTTTTGCAGTAATTGCCTTAAACTGTGCCTGCTTCTGATATCTATGCCTCTCAATGCGTTTCACGTTGCTGCCAGAGTATGAATCTGATTATGCGACTGCTAAAATACAAACCTGCTTGTGCTGTGCACTTGCTTGAAAACTTCAGCAGTTCCCTGATACATCCAAAATGATGTCTGATTTGCTTAGTATGGGATTCAGAGTTTGCCTACTGGTATTGCATATACAAAAAAAAAAATCTGGAAAATTTGAGCATGGGGCACATAATCAAGGTTTGTGAGTTGTGTTTTATTTTTTACTATTTCGTTGATGCCTTTCCTCATGTACATTATTTCACTATAACTACTACCCTGGCTGAATTAGAAGATACCTGGGTCAGTTGTGTGTAAATCAAACATGGATTGTACCTCTCCCTCAGTGTTTGATATCGTGAGGAACTATACTGCAGATTATGACAAGACCTTAATCTTCAATAAAATCCACCATGAGCTGAACCAGTTTTGCAGTGCCCACACACTTCAAGAAGTTTACATTGAATTGTTTGGTAAGTGGAAATCTTGTTCAACTTGTTCATGGATGCTGTGATATTAGTAAACCTTATTTGTTTGAGCTTTTCTTCTGATCTTATACTAGAGCAGTTGTCTTAAATTTTATTTTTGTCTTAAGTTTAAAATTGCATATGACTGAATAAGTTAGTCAGATAAGATATTTTAAGAATGGATATTATTTTTGAAATACATAATACATAACTTGGTAGAGATTGCAAATGCTTCATTTACTTAAAGATTATTTTCTGGTTGTACTGTGATAAGATGAAATTAGCTTTGCTGCTAATTTAATAGATAACTTGAGGAAATCTGGAAGGCTGTGAGGAATTACGTCTTGTGGAGGCTTTTTAAGACCAGCTCCAGGTTTGATGATTTATTAGGACTGACAGGAGCCAGCTATAGTTATACTTGTGGCTATTTGGATGCAAAGCAAAATCAGCAAAGGGACAAGGCTCACGGGACAAAGTCCAGAGGGAACCAGGCACAAGCTTCCCAGAGTTCTGTCAGGACACACTTAATTGCTCCAGCACTGAATCGTGACAACACTTAAGAAGCGTTGCCTACCAGGGAAGCTCATTTGAAACTCACTGCCTAAGTTTTTTACTGGGGGCTGGTCACAAAGCAAAATTGCAGATTCTATAAGGAAAACAGGTGTTCAACTACTCTTACCAGTTCTGGCAGTGGTGGGAATTCTCCCCAAATCTGGTTTCTTAGATGCCAGCCAAGGGGCAGCCTTGTAGACAGGCCTGCTGTGTTAACTCTTTTCTGCACAAGTTACTTTTACATTATGATAGCAGAAGCTCTGACCAGGGAATGGGTTGTTGCTGTTGATTGCTCACTTCTCCCCCCTGGAATTCCTTGTGGATTTCTAAGAGACAGACAGGAGGCTGCTTAATTGATTCCTCTTTGATTATCATACTTGGGTGGGGTATGAAGAAGCTGTCCTGATGTGTCACATCACTGGTCACCGTTTTAATAATGTGAACATGCCACTGAGGCTGATAGAACTTCTTCTCCTCTTTTTAAATCCAAAGTGATTATAAGTTGAAGTACATGCAAAGGAAATTTAGTTATTTGGGATTTGGGTAAAGGTTAAGTGAAGATAGGAATTTGCTTTTTTTCTGAGAATCAGGACATGAGAGCCCTGAATTAAGATACTAGAAGCCTAGATGCTCCAATTCTTCATTATTAGATAAACATAGACTGGCCGCTTGTCATCTTTCTTCCTTAAATTTTTTTATTAGATTATTCCTCACACTTTGTCCCTGCAAAAAAGAGCAAGGAGGCCACATGTTGACCTCCTCTAACCCTACAAGGGGAAGGCAGGATTACCAGCAGTAACCCAAGGCCTATTACTGCAAGGCCAGACATGCTGCCTCCCTCCAGCCCTTTCACCAACCGTTCCTCCCAAGGCACCCACCACCTCTCTCCTGGGTTTGATAATTCACTGCAGTGGCCACACAGAACTCACAGATTATGGGGTTTATTAGGGAAGCACCAGGCTACAACTCAAGTTCAAGAAAAATGCTCAGTCTCTCTCCCAGCCCAACGTCCCTCAGCCAACAGTCTCTCACAGTCTCTTTCCCAGCAGTGTTGGTCCCTCGGTGTCTCACTCAGCGATGTGTGTCTCTCGCGTCTCTTTCCCAGCAGCACGTGTCTCTTTCAGGGGCGCGTGTCTCTTTCAGCAGTACGTCTTCCTCAACCAGCAGTCAGAGAGAGTTCTGCCTCCAGGAGGCCTCCTTTTGAGCCTGAAGGGTGGTCAAACTAGCCAATCACAGCATCAGAACTCTAAGCACTTGAGAGAGAGTGGGAACTTCCCAGAACATTGTATTGTGCCATGCCCAACAGAAATAACCCAGGTGGGCGACTTTAAAATCAGGATCTCCTCAGTTGCTAATAGCAATTCCCATCTTGGAGTTTACAAAGACTTATGGGTAGAAAAGCCACACTAAGTAATTTACTACACTGCAGTCCCACACAAAAGAACAACAGAATTGATATGTGTGTGTGTGTATAATATATCTGTATACCTACTTACCTACCTCTCTGAAGCAGTTTAACAGTTTCAGTTCTGTAAAAGAATTGTGCCACAGACACTTTAGGTCTGATAATGATTAATTTTATTTCACTATTAAAAAAAGAAAATGAGTATCATGAGAGCTGTTGTTCTTGGCTCCAAAAACAGATCAAATAGATGAAAACCTGAAGCAAGCTCTGCAGAAAGATTTAAACGTCATGGCTCCAGGTCTCACTATACAGGTAAGCCCCTTTCCTAGGGATGTTCTCTAGGAATTTTGAGAGCTCTGAATTTTGTCCTCTTTTCATCAGACTGTTTATTCAGCTATTATTTAATTGAAGTTATATGGTAATTTATAGAATACCTTTCTCATTTCTGACTTTAAGTCTCAAAAAAAAAAGGAAGTATAACTGGGTAAGAAAAAGAGTATAACTGGGTAGGACTGTGATTGAGTTGAGATTTTTAGGTACGTCTGGAGAAATTAATGGGATTTATAGGGGGGAAAGGAATGAGGAAGTTACTTTAAGTGGGTGGGATGGCCTGAGTATAAGCAAGGTAGCAAGCAGATGAGTGTAGTGGTGATGGTGGGTGGCAGTAGGAGATAGAATGGTGAGTGGCTCTACCCTGACTGTTCTGGATTAGTATTTTTTTCAGACTATAGGTTGGAATTCATTGGTGGGAAGGGGTGATGACAGCATTTTAAGTAAAATAGAATAGAATAGGAAAAGAAATCAGAGCACCTGGCATGTAATATGATTAAACATTTTGGGAAACTTCTGTTTGTTTTAGGTAAGTGTTTGGGGATGGATATTAATATCAAGTCTCGGTGTAAAATCCATCTGTGTCTGTAGTCATGGTCAGTGATGTTTGAAAGCCACTGTTCTGCCTACATCTGATTGCCGGAGACGCAGTACTGTGGCTTCTCTGATGTCCTTTCTCAGAGGCTGTGAGAGCTCCACTGATTGTTATGAAGAGCATTATCTGCAGCTGATGACAAAGTTTCTTAGGCATCACATGTGTCTCAGTTCTTTAAGCTCAGTGTTGCTGCTCCTGAGAGTGGGCATTCACTGTAAGTGATCGTGGGCACACACTTCTCATAAATAAGACTGAGGAGACGGACAGGGCTTTTCCTGTGGCCTAATTGGTGCTATGTGCTGTTACCGCTCAGAATACCTGAGAGAGAGCCAGCAAACTTAAGGAGTCATTTGAAATGTCCAGTGCTAACTTTGTGAAATCCTATTACTTATGCAATCAGTTATGGCTGGAGTAGCTTTCCAGTTTTCAAAAAAATGAATGCCACTCACAGATTCTTAGATTCTGCCCAGGTTGTTTATTACTTAGAGATCTAACTTACTCCTTTTAACAACTGCTTATAATTCGTTACTTCATCTCACTTAGCTGTTGTCTTACTCTTTGTAATTCTTCACTATTAATAAACAGTAGTGTAGCGAGCATTCCAGACATGTGTCTTGTCTATGTACACAAGTGCTTATCTGAGACAGATCTCTGGCAGTGAAGTTACTTGCCACATTATAGGGTTAGCACATTGCCACTGAGTTGATTCCCACTCATCGTGACCCAGGTGTTACAGAGTAGAACTCCATAAGGTTTTCTTGACTGTAGTCTTTGGGGAGGTGGACTGCCACGCCTTTCATGGCACCACTGGGTTGGCTTGAACTGCCAGCGTTTAGGTTAGTGGTGGAGTGCAAACCATTTATGCCACCTGGGAGTGTTTTTTTATTATTAATGGACATTATCCTTGTAAGTATATATACAAATCTGCTTCTTGCTTGAAATATGTGGTTCCCCATGACCTCGCCAGCATTTGAAGCAATCAGACATTTTACTATGTGGATGTGAAGTTCTCTCTGTTGACTTGCATTTCTTTGATTACTAATGAGGTTGAGCATCTTTTGGTATTTTTACTGGTCATTTATATTCTTTTCTGTCAGTTAACTGTTCATATCCTTTACCTGTTTTTCTGACGGATTGTTTTTCTTTTTCACTGATTGATTGTAGTTCTTTGTATATTTTGCTTAGTTTTATACACATGTTATATAATATGTCATTAAGAAATTTGGTAGTAGGAAAAGGATGAAGAACAAAAGGAGCCTCACCAGTCATCTTACCATATAATCACCTTTAACAGTTTATTGTATTACTCCAGAGTCCTCTTAATGTATAGGAGCAGATATAAATAAATAAATAAATTTTAAACAAAATGAAATCATGTCATACTTGCTTTTTCCCCCCACTAACGGTATTGATGAACATCTTTCCGAGTTAAATAACAGATTTGTTGAATCATCACTTTTAACTAATCTCTATGCTTTCTAATTTTTTATAGTCAAGCTTATATATACACCTTTTAAATAAAATCCTAAAAGTGGAATTGATGAGTCAAAAAGTTTATATCCCTTTTTGGGGACCTTCTGATACATATTGCCAGATGAGTTTTCAGAAATATTTCAACAGCTCATACTTTCTCATCAGCAGTGTTAGTGAGCTGTAGTCACTGCACATTTGACTGTGTGATTATACCCATGTAATTAGCAGATGCACGCAACATTCCCTCTTTGTCTCAGTCCTTTTGGAGAAAATTAATCTACTGTTATTTTGTATTGACTGATGAGGTTGAGGAGTCCCTGGTCGGTCCACACGGTTAATGTGTATCTGCTCACCGAAATGTTGGTGCTCTGAGTCCACCTCGAGGCACCTTGAAGAAGACGCTGGCAGTCTCCTTCTTCCGTAAAGTCGGCCGTTAAAAACCTTATGGAAGACAGTTCTGGGCTTCACGAGTGTCTTCACCTTGGCGGCAGTTGTTTGTTGTTTTGTCTTAGTGAAGCTGAATATCCTGGGATAGTTGTTGGCCGTTTGTATTTCAGTTGTGAATTTTTCATTGCGTTGTTCAGGTTTTTGATGGTGATTTATCAGTTTTTCTCATAGATTTAAATATTCTGTTTTTTAATATGTTAGTTATTAAAATTCTTTCAAATCCATAGAAGATATTTTCTCCCAGTCGTCTGTTTTGTTTTTGCCACTTTGTTTTTTCATCCTAAGTATTCTGAGGCTTTAAACTTTCACATAGTGATTTTATTCTTTTTTCTTTGTGGTGTTTTACTGTGTTGGGCTGCCATAAGAACCTTATTATAGAAATGTAAATAAAATCGGAAATTATAAATTTTTTTCTACTTCCTTTTATAGTTGGATTTTAGATTTAAATCTTTAATCCGTCTGGAGTCTATCCTAATGTCAATTGTGAAAATGAACACTCTGATTTCCTCTTCCTTATCGGTAGCGACTGTGATTACTGAAGAATTTATCCTCCCCTTCCTCTGTTGTTAGAAATGACATTTGTACTATCTACTAAATTCCAGTGTATACTAGACTCCCTGGACTTTGCTGTTCCACTCATTTCTCTGTTCCCCCTCTTTTATTAGTTACTGAGTGCTCAAATCTGTTTCTCTCCTGTTTTTCATTTTTACTGGTAAATGATAACCTCTGTCTTCTCAGGAGACTGATCTGGAAGTATGGGAGGCATCTTTGAAACCCGCCCCCATGCCATCTAATCAGTCCCCATCCTCTGCTACTGTGCCACCAAAACCTATACAAAGCTGTCCATTTTCACCTCCACCAGCCACCACCACCAGCCTCCTATCTTGTGTTCTCCACTTTCACTGTGCCCTTCCCACCTCATTTTCTGCACAGCAGCAAGGGATCTTTTAAATTATTCCTTTATAAAAACTTACTGAATGAAAAAGTATGGCCTTATAATACATTCTTAAACTAGTAGGCAAGATCTCCATTGTTTTGGTTACTTTTGTTATAAAATTGCTTCTGAAAATAGTTGAAATGCATTTTTGGAACTTCAAGTCTATTTACCAGCCTTCTTATTTTTAATACATTACCATATGGGTACAATAATTTGACTTTTTATTCATTTTTTAAATCTGGTAAGTTGTATCATCTTTTCAGAAACAGCAGCCTTTGATATTTCTGCCAGCTTATTCCTCCAGATGAGTTTTCATTATTGGTATTTTCAAGCTATGTCAGGTACCTGAAATGGCCATATTCAGTTCACAATTAGGAACATGGTTTTTTGTTTTACTTACTAATACCATACTTTTTGTTTCTTCCAGAATTTCTGATGTGGGGAAGAAACTCATAATCTCAAATTAAATTCATGTGCTATTGAATATGTAGTCTTTTTTTTTTTTTCCCTAAAGTATTGAAGAATTGATTCTTGGTGGATTTGTCTTCCCTCTACAACTTTGTTGAATTCACCACCTCCAGTCACATTTGAGTTCCTTTCATTGTTGAGTTATATTAATTATTCCAGAATAAAAATAGTAATTTCGTCCTCTACAGCCTGGTACTTTTACAGTCCCCAATTAAAATCCCATTTTAATTCTTCACATTATGCTCATAACTATGTGAAATGCTTTCATTCTTTTATTTGTGCTCTTGTTTTTTTTTTTTTTTTTAATTAGGATTTGGGTGAAGATTT